ACATACATACATACATACATACATACATACCTACATACATACATACATACATACATACATACATACATACATACATACATACATACATACATACATACATACATACATACATACATACATACATACATACATACATACATATATATATATATATATATATATATATATATATATATATATATTAAAACTATGCTTCAAAATAAGAATTTAATGTATTTTTTCCATAATTTATGGTCAAACTTTAAAAAGTTTGACCAAGCAAATCAAAATGAAAAGAAAAATTATGAGCGGAGAAAGTAATAAAATAGATAAGTAAACTAATTTTTAATAATTACAAAGATGTAAAAATAATAAATTTTAGTCATTAAATGAATAAAAATGTAAAAAGTGACAAACATAATGACTTGTCACTCCACCCTCTTGCCACACGATGACTGGATTCTTTTCTATTGGTTGAAATGTTTCACGTCAGTGTGCGGCATTCTATTTTTTGTCTTGTCATTGCCCATGCTCTAAGAGCAATGGAAATGCCCATTCACACACATCTCTTCAATCTCCTTCAAAATTTTTAAATTTGTTAACATGAATCCCTCCTGTTCTTCTCCCCAGCGGTCTCGAGCCAAACAAGTACACAATGTGGTTCTTCCAGGCGTATGGGAGTAATTCGTCGTTGTTCAAAACGCAAAAATCAGTGAACCTCGATGACCCAGAGTCGGTTCCGGAGACTCAACCGGAACCAACGGGAACCAAAAAAAGTGCATGCCAGGAGAGTCACAAAGCGAAACAGATGTCCAAGACGGCACAGTCAATCCAAAAGTGGACGCCGGAGGAAGAATCCTTGTTGGTGTCGGCTTGGGTTGACGTCTCTGAGCATTCTATCGTTGGTAAAATTTATATATTTTTAATTTGTGTTAAACGAATTTTTTTAGTTCAATTTAATACTTTTTATAGGTTCGGAGCAAAACGAAGGATGCGACGTGAGATCATACTGAGGAGAAGTTCTTTGCATCGATGAACATAGACGCCTTGTACCGTACCCAAGACCAACTCACTTCTAAATGGGGTCACATCAATCGTAAAGTCTGAAAGTTTATTAGAGTTAACGAGAGATGCTCTCGGTCCAGAAGAGCGGGACGAACAATGTCGATATTCTCTGGCTTGCCACAACCCTGTATCAAGACGGCGGGTACTAAGACAAGGTGCCCGTTGATCTTTGGAGAAATTTAAGCGGTTCACCGAAATGGAAACAAGTCAACAATCCTGAGGCTAGATCCTCGAAGAAAAGATCCTCCGCCGAGGCCAAAGTTGAGGTCGATGACACTATTGGTTCGTCCAACAAAGGCTTCCCTTCAACGTAGACAATTCCGATGACGAGGACCCCATTTCACGACTGATCGGAAGAAAGAAGGCAAAGTTCATTGCCTCTTATTCTGGAGGGTCCGGCTCTGTTTTCTCTCACAACGATATTGGTTGGGCAATGGTTGAACAACTTCGAGTGTTCAATATTAGAGAAGAAGAAAAGGAGAGAAGAAGGCAACAGAAGGAAGAGATCGAAATAATGGAAACCGACTTTGATACGTTATCGGGCTTCAAATGTATACTTTTCGAGAGAAGACAAAAAGATATCAAGGCTAAATATAATTTGCATTAGTTTTTTATTAATGTATTTTTTATTGAATATAATTTTTATAAATTATTGTCGTTTTAATTTTTTTAATTTAATGAATGTAATTTTTTATAAATTGTTATCATTTCAATTTAATTAAATAAATACAACAACAACCCAGTTGAATCCCACTACAGTAGTGTAACACCCTAATCCGTCCAGGTCTGCAGCCCCATTCGAACTAAAGTATTTAACTTGGTAATCGTAAAAATTTAAAACTTTTCAAACACACTTTATTAATCCCAATAATATTTTTCATAACATATACAGTACGGAGTATTCAACAATATTGCGGAAGCGAATTTAATTTTGACATATCATAAATCATTTCAAACTTGTCACATCCATCCCGACAATCTCGCCCCATCTGCTGCCAGGATCACAGTGTTCTTTCTGTTGTACCTGCGTGTAGCAAATAAAACACACTACACGCTCAGCGGTAAAGCTGAGTAAGCATATCTAATGCGTCGAACATCCATATAAACTGAATCTAAATTCATAATCAAATCATTTGATATCATGCACACAATGTTCATTT